ATATATATATATATATATATATATATATATAGTTCATGAAGAAAATTAGACCACCATGGTAAAACACAAAGAGAAATGAAGGATATCATGGAAGCCATGCTCATCTTCTTCTTCATTGCCATGGATGGGAAGATGGAGAGGTGGAATGCATCATAAGGCCAGGTACTGCTACACACTGTCTACATGAATATATATATATGCCAGAAACAATAATAACTCCAGGTGGGATGGTTTCAGGATTTAGCTTTTGAGTCTAATGCTTTTAAGGCTGAAAAAAGTGGGGAAAGGGTGAAAGAGGGCATGATTGCTGAACATGGCTGCTTTATGACAATTAAGATCTTGGAATGCTCTTTAATCTTCAAAGTAGAATCATTCAAAGGCTGACAAGAATTGCAGTGGCATCTTGGATACAGGATGGCAGAATGTTTCAAGTTGAGTAAGGAATTTATTCCTGGTTTCTTAATGATGTTTGTCTACCATTAGTTAAGTGAAGCCTTGATTGCTCTGTTTATATCTTATGTTTGGGAAGTATGTTTTCTTAAAGATGTTTACACTGTATTAGTCTACCAACACATTTATTAGTGTCATACTTTTGGACCAAGAAACTCTAAAATATTTTTTGGAGGCACTGACATTTGCCTTTCACTTTCATCTTTTAGTACATGAGAAGACCAATTTTTTGTTGTTATAGCTTCACAAAGTTTATTCCTTGAGATGACTTTGTTCATGTATGCTAAGTTTAGGAGTTACTTGGCAGCAGGGTGCAAACAGGAACTCTTTGTGCCTCCACTGCACCTCCCACTCCTGGTGATCTCATGCTGCCATGACCTGCAATATGGAAGCAGAAGTCAGTGCATTGTCAACTCACTTTCTGGCTTCAAAGCCAAAACCAACTTGATAAAGGAGATGCAAGATGAGTATTGAGTAGGTTCTGTTCTGTTTCTTACAAGGTATTCAAGTGTATGAGTCACAGAATGTTGCAGATCTTCTTCTACCTCTGCATTCTGATTTAATGGTTGCCCTCATTGTCTGCTTCTCAGCCTTATCTTCTCATCATCCACACCATCAAGACTTGATAAGTCTCATTTTCCTCTTCTCATCTCACAGTGACATGAATGCTTCACCACTTGGAAACATATTCAATGAATGCTTAAATGATTGCTCAATAACAACCACACAAAAATTAAATGCCTAGAGACTGGCAACACTGCAGAAACATATGAAGGAGCACATCTCTGAGCTAATACAAAATTATAATTAGTGAGTCTTCTGCAGTACAATTCCATGCCTAATAATAATCCAAAGATATAGCAAGTCTGTTATAGTAAACTGCAGCATCCTCATAGAAATTATGTGATAAACCTCAAAGTTGAAATGCTGTTTGTGGCTGCCGCGGATTAACTTTACATTTATCGGGAGTAAAACTTTACATTAACCTTGCAATGAGTAACATCACAAATAAACATAGTTTAATGGTCATAATAAGATATCACTTTAGTAATATGATCCCAGTACCTGAGGAAGGAGATCTAACACTCTTCCAGTGTCCAAACATCAAGATCAAATATTCAAACAAGGTCCATCAAGCCATGATTACATGACACAAAGCATAAGCAAATAGAGAAAACAGATCTCCAGGAAGAGCAAGTAACGTGCATTGTTCTTCGAGTGCCATGTAATCAGGTTGTCATATAAGGTCTTAACAAATCATATAACCAGCAATCCTTCTATTTCTGAACAAGCATAAACAGATTATATAAGTATACTCCAAGATACCACTAAAAGCTTGTACAATCTGTGGTGTCATCTTTCATCGCTTTCCTTGGATTTTTTTTTGTCATTCTGGAGCCAACGACTGTAATGCATATCTATATATGTTACGACTGAAATTCAAACCTGCAAGCACCATCTACTCTAATGATGTCATTTACCTAAATGTATTAGTCCATGTAAACACAAGTTTTCAGTTGGTTTTTGACATTTTATTTACCAAGATTTCAGACACACATCGTCACACACAAAAGGAGCTAGAAACAGGCATGAGATGGAAAATACACTAAGGTTGCATTCAAGTACTTCCTGAATGGTTAGTCATTTATATTAAACAAAAAATAGTCACTAGGTACAAGAGGAGTCCCTTAGGGACTTCATTAACCAAAATCATTCATACTTACATTACATCTAAGATATGTATGTATACACGCTAATATGATGTACAGATTGTCTCCTCCAACATATGCTTGATTACTTGCTGTCTGAATAATGTGCCCAACAAATTCCTAAATCGAAGGCCTCAAGTCTTTAGGTAGTTACTACTGGATGAACTGCCAATGTTACATGGTACATCATAGACTTGAAGCTTTATGCTCCGTGATACAATATTTTGTAGTGCATCAATGCACTCCTCAAGGTCAGAGTCATTCGCCAAAATGACCCAATCGTCCTCATCATCCCTATACTTAAGCCGGAATGTTCCTACCAGCAATTTCAGTCTCTTTCCAATTTCCTCAAACAAGTGGTGGCTCCCCAAAGATGGAAAGAACTTGAATCGAACAGTGTCACCATTGTAGGTAGCCTTCACTGTTACACATGGGCCAGTTTGAGAGAGTAATCTCTGACTCTTCTTGAAACTTGAGTGGCTTGATGCACTGCCACTGGAAGAGTCTGTCATACTAGAAGAAAGAGGGCTTGTCAATTTATCCGGTGCTGCCAAACTCGAGCGTGTTGACACGTTCTGGCACTCATGACTCACCAAACTTACGTCATCTTTGCCGCCTTGGTGGCATCCTGCTCCTTTTAAAAGACATGAACTGTTGGAAATACCTTTAGAATACAATGGCAGTTTGTGCATGCTTTGAGCATTAGCATATGGGAACAGGCATCCATCAGCAGAAATAAAGTTGAATTCTCTGCCACAATCATTTGAAATGACACCAAGTTCATCTGTTTCACATTTTAACTGGCCTGTGGTACCTATTTGGCGTCTGTCAACAGAAGAGCAATCTGATTCAATTTTCCCAAGAGTTTGTTCTGTTTCAATCTGCCGAAAGGAAGAGGTCGGCATAAGGTCTTGACCTTTTGGGTCTAATGTTACCAATGTTGACTTTTCTGGAGAGGAGACTGCTGTGACAATGCACCCAGTAGAAGGATCATATTTTAGTGCTCCCTCCACTCCATGCACAGAATTTATCACATTTTGGATCTTCTGCAATGAACGATGGACCTTATTTATCTTGCGAGATGGCCATCTTGAAATCCCATGCTGTCTGCATATCTTTTTCAATGTTGTTGGACAAACTGCGACAGTTATCACATGTTTTTAAAATATCTAAACGGAGCAAGAGTTTATAATTTATTAACTAGTGCCTCTAGGTAAAATAATTCTAATTATCTAAACAATTACACACAAATCAACTGAGGAAGGAGAAGCAATATCACTATCACATGTTATAATATCTAAGATAAGGGCATTCTTTCCTTGAAAAAGATAAACTGTTACCACATCAAAACGGGTAGAAAAACAGGGCTTACCTCCAATGCTCCTTGCAGCATCCTTGAGACTTCCAGAAAAGTATCGCTGAAGAAGACTCAAGTTAATATTCTTCTCAGCAGCAGTGTGTTTTTTCTCCACATGTTTCATAGAGCCAGAATTTAACTGGATAAGTTGGAACACATATTTGTGTTTAGTAAAACCATATAAAAGAATTTGCAACAAAGTGAATGAGAAATATTCCAATTGCCCTTATTGAAATACAAAAAAAACTAATTATATCCACCCAGTAAACATCAATAAAATTTGGTTGACAAAAAACAGAATATCAAATATCAGCCAAAGATGATCTTCTATCAGAATTCAAAAAATATAAATAATGAAAATGAAGGAGAATTGGAAAAAAATTTTTAAAATGTGCTAAACTATCTTCCCCACATATCTTATGAAATTTTTTTTTCAAAAAATTTGAGAAAAGAATAGCTCGGTGCACCAGGTTTCTACCAGTATGCTGCTATTTCTATTGTTAGATCTGGTGTTTTGAGTTGAATAAGGGATCTTCTGATCGCTTAACAGTGATATCACAGAATCAGATTTTTTTAATAGTGATCTGTGGATCTCAGTAGAAGTGAACATTGCAGAATCTGATTTTTTTTTTTAACAGTGATATTCTTTAATAGGAAAAGACCAAGGATACTAGTGTTCGAGTCACGAATACAACCTCTTTATATTTAATGCTGCATACATTGCCTTCCCCAGACCCTGCCACATTGGTGGGAGCATGCACTTATTTGTGGGAGCATGCACCCTTTTTATTCCTGGATAGGAAGACTTTAAGAGGGAAATCCAACATAAAAAGAGCATGATAAGGAAAACCAATCAGATATCATGTTACTCAACACAAACAAAAGTCATGTTATTTAACACATAATGCAACATTTTGAACCTGAAAGATCTAGCATTCGGCCTATCTGTATATGGAAGACTCTGAGTAGCAAATTATGTAACATATGTGAATGCAAAAATTGGTGATATTAAGTTGTGAATAATTGTAAGTGATAATAAACCTAAACATTCTACAATATACTCCATCCAAATAAAAGGGCTTCATTAACACCTAACAGGTGGTTGAAGGTTTACTTATAAAGTATTGAGCCATAGGGCACCCTATAAAAAGGACTTCAGGACGTTCAACTTCTTGGCAATCAATCAAGAAGACGAATTGAC